TCTGGACATCCTAGAGGGCTGAGCCTAGCCTGGGTGATTGACAAGCGGCTGACTGTGTGCAACAGAATTGCCTTTAAAAGGGATGAGGCCCTGCTGTCCTCTCGAGTGTTGATTGAGATGGAAATCCAGGCACTGGGGACTGTCCAGAGCATGGAAAAATCGGTTGCACAAATCTCATTTTTGCTAATAGTTCTGTAATGTTATTTTCCCCCTAATTTGTAGAGATACTTTTCTCCATCATTGATTTATTGAGATATTTAACAACGTAATACAAATGAGAAAAATAATCCACAGTTGAGAAACAGAGTAGACGCCTTACCAGCTGCCAGATTTTTTTCTTACCCACTCGTGATCATGGTGTAAATATTAGTACAAGATAAGTAGCCTGGTGAATTATAGCTGTAGTGGAATATATGCTAATTTGGGAAAGGCAGAATTAAGCAGAATAAAAATGGGAGCATTTTCTTCTGTTAATTCAGAAGGAAATTCTCGGTATGACATTCCCCCTCCCCCAACATTTTTGAGTGTAAATGGATTGCTAAATAAATCGTTCTGCGTTAAGATTCTGTATCAATATTTTAAAATGTTATTATGAAAAATGCACACAATTCGTGGAGCTATGACAGAGCACTTAAAATAAAATGTGGCCTTTAGGTGATGGTACAGGAAGGGAGAATTATTTTTTTTTTCCTCAGGAGCAGGAAAGCATTACAGAAACATTAATGCAAAAGACATTCAGAGAATCCACTCCAGAGGTGTTCAGACCTTCTCAGAACGGTCTGAAGAAATCCTTCACTTTCTTAGTGCTTTAATTTCAATGGCTTTAAGCAACACCCAGTTTATGAGTCTGTATTTGATCTTTAGTGTCTATTACAACATAAATTTGCCTATCTTTTTAGAGGAAAAATACAATTCATTCAATATTTAAAGCCCTTAAAATACTGACTTGCTCATAGTAAGCAGTAAATAAAATAGTGGTGGTTGTTATTTATTGAAAGCCTGCTGTACTAGACCCTGAGAAAGGCCTTGGGATACAAAGAAGAATGGGGGGGTTGGGGGTGGGAAGGATGGGAGGATGGATGGAAGGAAAAATGGATGGATGATGGAAGGAAGGAAGGGTGGGTGGGCAGATGGATGGGTAGGTGGCCGAGTGGGTGGCTAGTGGGTGAGTGGATGGATAGATGGAAGGAAGGAAGGAAGGAAGGAAGGAAGGAAGGAAGGAAGGGTGGGTGGATGGATGGGTAAGTAGATGAGTGGGTGGGTGGATGGATGGATGAATGGATAGATGGATGGATAGGTGGATTGGTGAGTGGGTGGATGAATGGATGGGTGGGTGGATAAATGAATGGATGAAAGGAAGGAAGGATGGATAGATGGATGGATGGATGGCTAGAGGGAAGGGAAGGGGGAGGGCAGGGGAGGGGAGAGAAGGGGAGTGGAGGGCAGGGGAAAGGAAGAAGGGAGGGAGGGAAGGAAGGAAGGAAGATAGGTTATATGGATGAATGGAAGGAAGGAAGGAAAAATGGATGGATGGATGGATGGATGGATGGATGGATGGTGGATGGAGAGAAGGAAGGAAGAATGGATGGATAATGGGTGGATGGATGGTTACATGGGAGGGTGGATCATGGAAAGATGGATGGAAGGATGGATGGATAGATGATAGCTGGAGGGAAGGCAGGAAGAATGGAATAGATGAATGGTTACGTGGATGGATGGGTGGCTGGATGGAAGGAAAGAAGAATGGAAGGGATGAATGGTTACATGGATGGATGGGTGGAGAGAAGGAAGGAAGAATGGATGGATAATGGGTGGATGGATGGTTACATGGGTGTAACCCATAATGGGTGAATGGATGGATCATGGAAAGATGGATGGAAGGATGGATGGATAGATGATAGCTGGAGGGAAGGAAGGAAGAATGGAATGGGTGAATGGTTACATGGATGGTTGGGTGGCTGGATGGATGGACGGATGGTGAATGGAGAGAAGGAAGGAAGAATGGATGGATAATGGATGGATGGATGGTTACATGGGAGGATGGATCATGGAAAGATGGATGGAAGGATGGATGGATAGATGATAGCTGGAGAGAAGGCAAGAAGAATGGAATGGATGAATGGTTACATGGATGGATGGGTGGCTGGATGATGCTAAGCCTGATGGTGTGAACAGGCAGGTAAATGTGCAGATGGGCTTTAGAAGCCCATTGGTGGAAGCAGCCGTCCCTTCCTGGAACGTGGGGTGGGGTCGAGGTTGGCCTCAAAAAGATGAGGAAAGGACTCTTGATTTTCCACCATCCCCTGTCCACTGGCTGTGGGTAGCTCATTAGAACAGCAGTCAACAGCAGTCTCATCTGATTCCCTGATGGATGGCACAGGGCCTAACCAAAGAGTGGACAGCATTTGTGGATTAATAAGGGAGTGAGGCAGGGGAGGAGGGGGCAGCAGTTCCCCAGGCCAAGAGGAGGCCTGTGCAGAGTAAATGCGGAAGCCTTCCCTGACCATTCTTAAGCCAAACTCACGTACGACAATATAAACCACATACAACCAGCATAAACTACATACAGCCAACAATCTGTGTGTGAACCTCAGCATCCTAGGAGGAAGAAGGTAGGCTTAGGCTCTGGCTTGCCATTCTGACACTATTAATGGTGATGAGCGTCTTGGTGAGAAATGGCTGTAAATGAGAATATTTAGAAATAATGGCCAGGCATAGTGGCTCACGCCTATAATTCCAGCACTTTGGGAGGCCAAGGCGGGCAGATGGCTAGAGTCTGGGAGTTCGAGCCCAGCCTGGGCAACATACAGAGGCCCTGTCACTACAAAAAAAAAAAAAAATTAACAACTTAGCCAGGCGTGGTGGCATGCACCTGTAGTCCCAGCTATTCAGGAGGCTGAGGCAGGAGGATCGCTTGAGTCCAGTAGTTCGAGGCTGCAGTAAGCTGTGATTGCACTACTGCACTCCAGCCTGTGTGGCCCTGTCTCCAAAAAAAAAAAAAGGAAAGGAGGAAGGGAGGAAGAAGAAAGAAAGAGTGAGAGAGAAAGCAAGCAGAGAGGGAGGGAGGGAGGGAAGATCAGTGTTATACTACTTTTCTGCCAGTGCAGAGATTTGTACCTTTCAAATCTCATTCACGTCTACTCCTCGTTAACCTGTGACTGTAAGGACTTAGTCGGTGCAAATTCTAAATCCTCTGCAAATACAGACTGATACAATAGCAATTTTCTGCCTGTTTACTGTTGGGCTAATCCATCTGAGCGTACCTGGTGATTGCAGGTGGGTGATAAGGTTGGTTTCCGGAGCAGTCTCAGTGCCCATAAGGCAGTCAGCACGGGTACACACATATCCAAATGGGTTTTCCCTCACCAGATTTCCTGCTTTGTAAAAGGTCTCATACCTGAGCCTAGAAAAACAAATACAGTTCACGAAGGATTGCTACTTCAAATGAACATTTTGACCTCTGAGCCTACTTTTTTACCAAACAACCTCCTTAGAATTAAATTTATATTTTATTTCACAAACACACGTGCAGCACTTACTATGTGTGAGGCACTGTCCTGAGCACTTTATAAATATTAACTTATTTAATCCTTGAAGCAAATCTATGACGAAGATGCCTTTGTTATCACCATTCTACAGGCAAGGGTCAGAGAGGTTCTGTTCTTTGTCTAAAGTCACACAGCTAATTGAATTGCTGGGGCCAGGCTTGGCAAAGAGGCTGTCTAGCTCCAGGCTCCATCAGCCCTTTCTGCCCTGATGTTATAGTGTCATAAGTTTTTTATTTCTTTTTTTCCTTTTTTCTTTTTATGTTGTAATGTGAAGTCATAACAATTGCAAAGTTCTTTTTTTGTTTGTTTTTTGAGATAGGGTCTCACTGTGTTGCCCAGGCTGGAGTGCAATGGCACAATCTCAGCTCACTGCAACCTCAACCTCCCAGGCTCAAGCCATCCTCCTGCTTCAGCCTCTTGAGTAGCTGGGACCACAGGTGCCTGCCACCATGCCTGGCTAATTTTTTTTTTTTTTTTTTTGCCATCCTCCTGCTTCAGCCTCTTGAGTAGCTGGGACCACAGGTGCCTGCCACCATGCCTGGCTAATTTTTTTTTTTTTTTTTTGAGACGGAGTCTCGCTCTGTCGCCCAGGCTGGAGTGCAGTGGCCGGATCTCAGCTCACTGCAAGCTCCGCCTCCCGGGTTCACGCCGTTCTCCTGCCTCAGCCTCCCGAGTAGCTGGGACTACAGGCGCCCGCCACCTCGCCCGGCTAGTTTTTTGAATTTTTTTAGTAGAGACGGGGTTTCACCGTGTCAGCCAGGATGGTCTCGATCTCCTGACCTCGTGATCCGCCCGTCTCGGCCTCCCAAAGTGCTCCGCGCCCGGCCGCCTGGCTAATTTTTAAAATTGTGCGTATATATGATGTCTCCCTGTGTTGCCCAGGCTGGTCTCGAGCTCTGGGCTCAAGCAGTCCTGTAACCTCAGCCTCTCAAAGTACTGGGATTACAGGCATGAGCCATCATGCCCAGCTCGCCATGGTTTTTTATGACAGATCTCACTGATCACATTTCTTTTGCTCTGTGGCTGGAGAGATGCCTCAGAACCCAACTCATGTGCCTCTAACTTCCTCTCTATGTCTGATTTTAATTTTAAGTTTATTAATGGCTTTAATTTCAAGTGTATTCATGTTTTCCTATATGTGAGGTTTCCATACATATATGTATTTTACTGTGGTGAGATACACATAACCTAACATTTCCCACTGTGACCATTTCAAGTTCAGTAGCATTGAGCACACCGACACTGTTCTGCAACCAGCACACCATTCGTCTCCAGAGCACTCTTTGACTTGCAACACTGAGACTCCATCCCCATTCAGCACTCATTCCGCATCCAGTGCCTCTGATGCCTCATCCAGGTCGCCACAAGCCGACCCACCGGGCAGGTGCGTGGGGCTCACACCTGGGAGTTCGCACTCCTAACTCTGCCCTCGCCTCCCCATCCCTCTTGCAGATGAAGGCTTATGGGACATGTTTGTGAAGGACATCCCACGGAGTGCCACATCCTACACCCTCAGCCTGGATAAGCTCCGGCAAGGCGTGACTTACGAGTTCCGGGTGGTGGCTGTGAACGAGGTGGGCTACGGGGAGCCCAGCAGCCCCTCCACGGCCGTGTCAGGTAGGCCCTCCCAGGGAGGTCTGTCTTCTTCTGAAGGACTAGAGGGAGAAATGGAGTCGAGGGGGACGAAGGGGACACGAACTTGCTGCTTTAGGTGTCTCCAGCTCGGTTGAGGTTCTGCTCAGAGAATATGCGGGCGGGGAGAGCAGTGTCAGTCTCCAACACCTCCCCAGTGCCACCCATCCTCCTGGGCAGCTCCCTGCTGCCCTCTGGCAGGACCCCAGGCCCCGGAGCCTCCCCCAGCACCACCAGCAAGGCCCCTTATGGGCTCTGTGTCCACGCTGTGCTCCAGCAATTCCTAATGTGTTTCCTCGTAGTTTTTAAAATCAGAGACACATGCAAGTGTCAGAGGCGTGAGCGTGAGTCACGCGGTGTCCCCTCTGCGGCAAAGGCATTCCCAAGGAAAGCAGAGCCCCGAGCCCCTCTATTAGCTGGTGCGTCCTTGCCGGGGAGCACGTGTGATTTTGGAGGGACAAGAACCACCCCGGCAGCCATGGGGGAGCCCACGAGTGCCTGACAAGAGGTCATGTCTTCCCGGGGCCTCCCAGAGAGCCAGCGGAGGGGCTGGGGACAGGGGACAGTAGCTGCTCTGGGCACAAGGCGAGCAGTATCGCTGTCCCTGAGGATGGCGTGCAGGTGGAGGTACTGCCTCTCCCGGGCTGGGCGTTTCTTTGCATGCTCGTCGCTGTGAGGTGCTGCAGGCTCCAGAGGCCACCCTGGGTCCAGGACCAGGTCTGCTCTCAGGGAAGTGACAGAGAAGGCCAGGGCAGGGCTTCCTCCCCCAGGGCAGCCGTGTTAGATGACAGACGTGTCTGCAGTCAGCAGTCATGACAGGGGTTATGACCCACAGGGCGGGGGCCATGACCTTGCCTGGGAATCAGGAAGGTGCCTGAAGCCTGCCACAGGGGAAGGGACACCTGCAGGAGGCAGAAGGTGGTGGAGAAAAAGTCCTGGTCATTGAAGAGCCGTGGGTGGGGGAGCTGGAGAGGGAGGGGCAGCAAAGCTGGTCCGTGGTCATGCCCCCCCGACCCCCCATGTGCCTAGGGACTGAACACTGGCTATACCTTCGGGTTGCTTGAGAAGGTTAAACACACACCCTCGCTGTCCCCTCACCCCAGACAGTGACTTCCGTGGCTCCAGGCATGACTTTCTTTACCACACGGTGATTCCGTTGTGCAGACCGGCTGCGAGCCAGGGCACCGGGGGTTCAGAGAGGGCCGGGCTGTGTTTGAGGAGAGGGGCTCTCAGCAGCACGAAGGGCAGGGAGGCCTCAGGGTCGGGGCAGCAGAGCCTCAGCCAGAAGCCCCGGCAGGGCCAGCTCCATTGGTCCTCCTCCTGGGATCAGGAAGAAGCTGTTCCTCTCCTCTGCGTTAGAGCTGCTTGAGCTACTGACCGCACTTGTTGAAACTGAACTTAGTCTTCGTCCTTTGTGTGCTATGAGTTTGGAGGAAGGACCCTGTGCTCGCCTGTGGGTGAGCGTGGGCCCTAAGCCTGGTACGCTGGCCTGGGAACATGCTTGAATTCCGGGGTCACTCTGTGAGAGGGGCTGTGAGAAAGGGACCCAGAGAACCCCCTGATTTTTTTTTTTTTTTTTTTTTTTGAGATGGAGTCTCGCTCTGTCACCCAGGATGGAGTGCAATGGCACGATCTTGGCTCACTGCAACCTCCGCCTCCCGGGTTCAAGTGATTCTCCTGCCTCAGCTCCCAAGCAGCTGGGATTACAAGCATGTGCCACCACGCCCGGCTAATTTTTGTGTTTTTAGTAGAGACAGGGTTTCACCCTGTTGGACAGGCTTGTCTCGAGCTCCTGATCTCAAGTGATCTGCCTGCCTTGGCCTCCCAAAGTGCTGGGATTACAGGAGTGAGTCACGGTGCCTGGCTGATCACTTAATTTTTTAATGAGTAAGATTTAGAAAAAGCACAGATTTCTCATTTCCCTAATTTTCATTATGAATATTTTAAATGTACCCCAAAGTAGAGAGAATGAGGAACCCCCAGCGCCCCTCATCCCAATTCAGAGATCCAAGATTTGCTGCATGAGCTTTACCTGTGGAAATGGATACAGAGCAGTTCTACATGCCAGTTCCTCATGCGGAGCATGCACCCTGACCCCACTTCCCGGGGCCTGTGGCTCAGGCGTCTCTGACACTGCATTGCACACGGAGCTGGCCTTGCTGTGAGCTGGACCGCACTGAGCTCATCGCATCCTTCAGGGAAGCCAGCAACCATCACCTGCTGACATCAGGACCAGGCCAGACCCGGCAGCTGGGACGTCCTGCCCCATGTGAGAGTCCTCCAGAACAGCCCGGCCTTTCTTTCCTGCCAGGTGCTAGGGCCAGGCCCACTCTGGGCCACTTGGCCGGTGGTGTCAGTGTGGCATCTGTCAGACTTGCTGTTGGAGTACTGAATGCACAGCCCGCAAACCCACTTCTGTCTTTTGGATTTAAAGCACCATCACCTCCTAAGGAGCCCTGTGAACCTGCATTAACCAAAGCCGATTCCCTGCTTTTCTTCCTGATGTGCACACATCCCCTATTCATGAGATATAGGATAGAAGCTTCGGCTGGCTGTGTTTGGAAGGGTTCTGGCTGCTGGGGGCCAACACTTGGGCTTTGCCTGTAAGAGGCTTTGTGTTCTGAGGGGCTTCCAGTGCCACAGAACCCACTCCCCTTCCCGGCCCATAGAAGGCCCTGAATGGGACGCCGGGACCACCCAGCACCCATCAAGATACAATTGCCCGCTTTTCTGTTCTTAGCGAGCAGAATGAGACAGAAGGAAGAAGAGCATCCTTCAAAGCTGCCTTTAAATGCATTTTTTTCCATTCATTTCTCAGAAACACATCTAAAGAGAGGTCCAGTCATTCAGCTCGGTTTTGCTAGAGGCAGAAAATAAATAAAACACAGCCCCAGGCTTTAGGGGTTTGTGGTCTGCGAAGGGGCCAACAGGTAGAGAAATACACACAGTGCGTGTTTCCAGTGGGGGCTTCTGCACACATGCAGTCGGCAGGGGCAGGTCCTGGGGTGCTTTGTGGGCTCAGGGTTCACCCCGCGGCTGATGGGAACCACTGAGGATTTTAACAGGGGGGCAACTGATTTCTCTCTGAGGAAGATCTCTCTCAGGTGATGTAAAGGATGAATCTGAGCAAGATAGGAGGAGGTATAACAGGTGGAATGTGAGTGTCGTGTGCAGGCAGGAGGTGGTGATGGAGAAGGCAGGGGACCTGGAGCCGTCTTCTGGGATGTCCCAGCACCAGGAGAGAGAAGGACGTCTGGGCGCTTTGTTCTATCCTCACTTTAACCCAGACAACGTTTTCATTTGCTGGCTTGCTTGTTTTGTGGAGGCAGGGTCTTGTTCTGTCACCCAGGCTGGAGTGCAGTGGTGTGATCGTGGCTCACTACAGCCTCTACCTCCTGGGCTCAAGCGATCCTCCCATCTCAGCCTCCTGAGTAGCTGGGACCACAGGTGTGCCACCACACCTAGCTAATATTTTTAATGTTTTGTAGAGAAAGGGGTCTTGCTATGTTGCCCAGGCTGGTCTTGAACTCTTGGGCTTAAGCAATCCTCCCACCTCAGCCTTCCACAGTGCTGGGACTTCAGGCACATGCCTCTGTGCCTGGCTGGTTTTTGTTTGTTTGTTTGTTTGTTTTGTCTTTTGTTTGTTTGTGTTTTTAGAGATGGGATCTCGCTACATAGCACTGGATCAGGCAGTGTTTTTAAACGGATGAAAATAGGAGAGAGCAAGTAGGAAGGGCAGTTTTAGTGGGCAAGGTCAGGGCAAGGGCAAAGATACTGAAGTCTCCAGGGCAGGGGCGGCTTGGAGGACAGAGGAGCCCTGAGCCTGATTCCACAGAAAAGGTGGCAAATGGCGGCTGCTGAATTCCCAAAGCCTGCTGAGGACCATGGGAGCCTCCTGAGCTTGTCCCATGGGAAAAGTCCACCGGCCCGGCTGGACAATGGTTTCCTCTCACCTGTAACCAGGAGTTATCCACCCCAGCCTTCCCCGCCGCCCATGTGGCCCACAGGAGGTGACTGCAGCTGGAGTGTCTGCCCCACATCACTGTGTGTCCGTATCTTTTCCGCAGCTCAAGTGGAAGCCCCATTCTACGAGGAGTGGTGGTTTCTCCTGGTGATGGCTCTGTCCAGCCTGATCGTCATCCTGCTGGTGGTGTTCGCCCTCGTCCTGCATGGGCAGAATAAGAAGTACAAGAACTGCAGCACAGGTGCAGGTCCGGCCCCTTCCTCGCATGTCCCACGATGCTACTCAGCCAAAACACAACGTTCGTTCTCTCGTGGATCTGCCGGGCCAGTGTCCGCTTTTCCATTTCATTTGCCTGTAGGTGCTGAGAGAGACGCAATAGGTTTTCTTTCTGGGGGCAGCCAGGCACAGCCCAGGGAGCGCTCTACGCCTCGGGACCCAGATGCTGACCCTGCCTGCCCTCAGATTAGCTATATGTCTTGGATAAGGGTGTATGAGTCATCCAGCCTCAGAGATCCCCACTCTGTACCTTTGTTCAAATGCAATTGCTTTTTTTTTTTTGAGACAGTCTCACTCTGTCACCCAAGTTGGAGTGCAGTGGCACAATCTCGGCTCACAGCAACCTTCGTCTCCAGGATTCAAGTGATTCTCCTGCCTCAGCCTCCTGAGGAGCTGGGATTATAGGCACCCTCCACCACGCCTGGCTAATTTTTGTATTTGTAGTAGAGACAGGGTTTCACCATGTTGGCCAGGCTGGTCTCGAACTCCTGACCTCAGGTGATCCGCCTGCCTCGGCCTCCCAAAGTGTTGGGACTACAGACGTGAGCCACCACGCCTGGTCTAATCACATTTTTTAATACTATTAGAAAGCCAGGTGTGTCTGGGCATGGTGGCTTATGCCTGTAATCCTAGCACTTTGGGAGGCTGAGGCTGAGGATCACCTGGGCCTGGGAGATCCAGGTTGCAGTAAGCCATGATCACACCACTGTACTCAGCCTGGGCAACAAAGCAAGATCCTGTCTCTTTTTTTTTTTTTTAAATTTGAGACAGAGTTTCGCTCTTGTTGCCCAGGCTGGAATGCAGTGGCCCAATCTCGGCTCACCGCAACCTCCTCCTTCCAGGTTCAAGCAATTCTCCTGCCTCAGCCTCCCCAATAGCTGAGATTACAGGCATGCACCTCCACGCCTGGCTAATTCTGTATTTTTAGTAGAGACGGGGTTTCTCCATGGTGGTCAGGCTGGCCTCAAACTCCTGACCTCAGGTGATCCAACCACCTCAGCCTCCTGAAGTACTGGAATTACAGGTGTGAGCTGCCATGCCCTGCTGAGATCCTGTCTCTTATTAAAAAAAAGTATAAAGTGTTAAACAGGTGGCATATTGTACTATGCAATATTATAAACACAGTGACTGGGGCACACCTCAGATGTTGATGTTTTGCTGTGGCTCACAGACTATCACGGAAGCATCTCCATGGCATAGTTCTTCTCACCCACTGCAGCTTGAACCTCGCCTATGTCTGTGGCCCACCTCTGAGCCCTCTGAGGCCCAGAGCAGAGCTGTGTCTCCAGCAGAGCAGGCATTCAGTTAATAAGCATTTATTGCTGAATGAATCACTATCATTAGAGAAAGGAACAAATGAACGTAGGGTAAAGCCAACCACAGAGAGCACAGACCTTGTGACTCCATTTACATGAAGGCCAGGCATACCCACAGTGAATGGAAGTTTCCAGGTTTGCCTGTTGGTGGAGAGGTATAAACAGGGAAGATGCATGAGAGCGCCTCACAGGTGCTAAACATGCTCTGTCTCTCCACGTGGACAGTGGTTACATTCACAATCATAAAGCATCATTCTGCCACTTAAGATTAGCATAGCTTGTGCATTTGATTATCCTCAATTTTAAAAACCTCATCATTATCAATGAGGCCACTTCTCTGGATAACCAGAATGTAACTGAGTGCTAGACCGCAGCCTGTGTCTTGTTTCTTAAATAGAGACGGGGTTTCGCCATGTTGGCCAGGCTGGTCTCGAACCCCAGGACTCAAGTGATCCTCCCACCTCAGCCTCCCAAAGTGCTGGGATTACAGGAGTGAGCCATGCACGGCACCTGGCCTATGGCCTGTTTTGATCCCACGGAGCATCTACCAGAGCTGTAGCTGAGCCCAAGCACGTGGTCACTTCTCTGATATCGCCACTACCACTGGGCCAGACCTCCTCCTGAGCCCAGCTCATTCGTTGGAGGTTTTCCCATCAACTGGGTCTTCTCTTTTTGGAAAGGCAGATCCCTGATGAGCTATTCTTTAAAAAAAAGGAGCTGGCTACATTAGCCCTGTTGGCCAAGGAGCTAGGCAGAGTAGGTTCCTGACCCCGGCCACAAGTCCCACCATCCTTGTGCCAAAGGGGTTAAAAAAACCAGGCACCTAAAATGCCTCCCTATTTGCTTCTATAATGTTAAGCAATTCATCCCTCCAAGAAAGGATTTATTTTTTTCTGTATAAATTCACTTCTAACAAGTGTTCGTAAATCAGATTTTATTCCTGTGGGATTTACAATGTATGAATGGCGTGTCATTTTCCCGAGTTAATGCTATTACAGAATCCTGTGTCTGGTGCATAGAAAATCTCCCTGCTTTTCACTCTCCTCCTCCATCTGGAAAACAGACTTGAAAACGCAGATCTGACCTGCAGCTTCCCATGCTCAGCTGCACCCTGCAGTATTAACTTAACATCATAATTGAAGCCTGGAAAAAATAATACTTATCTACCAGAATGACTCCCGTCCTGCTCACTAGACATTGCAAAACTTAAACCTCCGTGGTGACAGCCTCACTCGACACCCCTTCCTGCGTTCCTTTATCCTCCCATCCTCATCTGAATTCCTTTCTGATCTCGGTTTCCACCTGCTCACCTCTCGTCATCCCAAATCCCCTCTCCCAGGCAAGCCCATCTTTCATTTTCTGCTCTGTGTTCTTCCGTTACACACAGATAGAGCGTTAAGGTTTAAGGCACGTCAAAGGGGGGGCCAGGTCCCAGCAGAGAGGAGACTCTTGGGGTTTAGAAATGCCAACACACTTAGCAAATACCTGCCAAGCCCCTGGTATGTGTGTAGGTGCTGTCCTGGGGGCTGGCGGGGCACCGGGGAGCATGGTGGACTTAAGGCTGTACCTCAAAGTAAATATGCGTGAGAAACAGAGGTCACTTTATGTGGTCAGGGAGGTCCTCTTTGGTCTCAGGGCATTTGAGCTGTGATCTGCAGGAAGGGTTAAGAAGCTCGGAAAATACTGGAAGAAGGAGCTTCCAGCAAGAGGGAGAGCCCCGAGAGAGAAACCCATGTTAGGGAGGGGCTGAGGGCTGGAAGATGACGTGGGATTTGGCAGGGTGGACAGACCAGGCCAAGCTTGGGGACGGCTCGGAGGCCTTGGACTTTCCTGCAGAATGAGATGGCAAAATCTAGTGGAATTTTTTTTTATGTTGTTTGGTTTTTCAAAACTTTATTCATTTGCTCTGTTAATATATTTTAGAATATGTTTTGCTATATATTTGTAAATTTACTCTTTTTTAAAGTGTACGGTTCAGTGGTGAATGCACAGATATGTGCAGTCATGACCACAGTCAATTCTAGAACGTTTGTATCACCTCAAACGGAAGCCCTGTACCCTTTCTTTAGCCATCACACTCCCATACATTTATTTCTACTTCCTGTTGTGCTAAATGATTATGAATTTTTATTTTGGAATTTATTAAATATTTAATTTCCCTGACTTTTAAAAGGCTTATGCATTCTTGGCCAGGTACAGTGGCTCACGCCTGCAGTCCCAGCGCTTTGAGAGGCCGAGGCAGAAGGATTGCTTGAGGCCAGGAGTTCGAAACCAGCCTGGGCAATGTAGTGAGACCCCATCTCTACCAAAACAAACAAACAAAAAAGTCAAAAAAAGTTTATGCATTCTGAGTCTATTTTCATAAAACAGTGGCAAGAATACTGGTATTTTGGGATCAGGCAGAACAAACACTGAAATGTTAATACTGTCACTTGGCTCCAACATTGTGATCAATACCTAGCTTTTCTCCCCAGCTCGGCCCTCAGAGGGGCTGAAGCAGGTGTCCCCGGCTCTGGGCTCTGCATGCGGCAGGACTCAGGAGCTGCCTCACTGGCCAGCTCTGGCTCAGTGCGGCTGCGGTGACCACACCAATAACACGTCTGTTGTCACTCTCCTGCTGGGCTTTAGGAAAGGGAATCTCCACCATGGAGGAGTCTGTGACCCGGGACAATGGAGGATTTGCTGCCCTGGAGCTCAGCAGCCGCCACCTCAATGTCAAGAGCACCTTCTCCAAGAAGAACGGGACCAGGTAGGCAGCCAGCGTTGTGCCGCGCCCACCCGGAGATCTGAGCTGCCAGGGTTGGGGTGACAGCCCACGCCCACGGGCACCTCCCGCATCCCACCTTGTGGTTCCATGAAGCAAAACCTAACCCACTGCCAAGCGCGATCCCAAACCACCAGGGGCACCCCTGAGTCTAGGAGGTACGGAATCAGCAGAGCAGCTGGAAGTATTTTCGGGGCATCTCTGGAGATTTAGAAAGAGGGCCTCAGGTGTGTGGGAAGGACCTGGAACACCCAGGGGCTGCCAGGCTGGCCTTCCGTATCAACCGCGGACACCTTGGATCCCGGTGTTCCTAGTTCACAGAGGTGTCATCTGGGCTGCCACAGGCCCGACTGGGTGTCCTCGAAAGCTAGCCTGGTGCTTGTTGCTGATTTCATTGTTCTTTGTATTCCAAAGTTTTCCCGTGCCGATACACATCGCCATTCCATACACGGATGTGAGTGCAGGCAAGAAGGATTTTCACCACCAAAGCCTCCTTAGCTTATAAACCTTTTCCTAAATCCAGCAGGAAGCAAGGTTTCCCAAACAAGAGAGGGGATGACCTGGGTTTGCCTTTTTGATGTGCAGAGCGCCATCCTCTGATTTGAGAACCCTTGACCAAGGAGAAGAGCCAGGATTGGGGAGGGGTCTTGAGTGTCTGGAAGGAAAAACCCAAACACCTGAGGATGCTTCCTGGAAAACACACACCTCGGGGCCTTCCTGGGGTGCCCCAGCCTTGGGTTGGAGAAGGCTCCTCTCCCTCAACCAGACTCACCTTGGATTACACTCAGTTGCAAGGGCGTGGAAATCACACGTCATCCAGACCCAGACAGACCCCAGGGTTTCCTCTTCCCTTTATTGTTTACAAAGCTGCAGGGGCCAGCAGTGCCTGGAGATTCCCTGGGCCATCCCCGCCCTCCACTGAGTTTGGAAATCTCAGATCACTCGGATGGTGCCAAGGCACGGGCAGGCCTTTTCCCAGCCACTGACGCTCTGCCAGCCCCACAGGTGCCAGTCCAAAGCACCGCAGGCCACTACCCCACGAGGCCTTCCCTAGGGCTGAAGGTGGATGCTGGTGGTGACATCTGGTCACACCTTTCATTTCTTTTGTCTACTGGGAGGCAAGTTTTTCCTGCCATGTAATAGAAACATGAAAAAGCAACCATGTGTAGTTTCAAGGCCAGGAGGAACTTGTCACAGAGAATTTTAAAATATTATGTGCCCTGCTCCCTTGCTATAAATCTGTCTTGTTCTGAGTTCTGAGAAGAGACACACACAGCCTTGAAGCACATTGCCCAAGAATAGACAGTCGTTCAGTTTGTGAAGTCCATCTGCTTCCTAGGAAAGAGAAACATCATTTGATGATGAGGTTGGAGGTGCTCAGCCCACAAAGACCCAAGGACAAAATAAAATTAAGATGCAAAAGAAAATGGACCCTTCCCTTAGGTTTTTAAATAAGCCATCACCTTTTCAGTCCTAGCAATAGGACCCTGTATTTGTCTGTCCTCATGCTGCTGATAAAGACATACCTAAGACTGGGTAATTTATAAAGGAAAGAGATTTAATGGACTCACAGTTCCACATGGCTGGGGAGACCTCCCAATCATGGTGGAAGGCAAGGAGGAGCAAAGTCAAGTCTTACATGGTGGCAGGCAAAAAGAGAGCTTATGTAGAGGAACTCCCCTTTATAAAACCAACAGATTGTGTGAGACTTATTCACTCTCACAAGAACAGCATGGGAAAAACCTGCCCCCCATGATTCAAGTACCTCCCACCAGGTCCCTCCCATGACACATGGGAATGATGGGAGCCACAACTCAAGATGATTTGGGTGGGGACACAGCCAAACCATATCAGACCCCAAATGTGATTGAAGGAAAGGATTCTCTGCTGAGAGGGGAAGTGTCTGGGCAGGGACACCTGAGATTGGTCCCGTAGCATCATCCCCCAAATATCTTAGAAATACAGGCACAGTTGATTTATGTCTCCCCAGTGCACATCTGTGCTTCCAATTTCTTTGTGGGGAAGACATCATTTTAGCTCCTTAGATAAAAAGATTTACCCAAATGTTTAGATAAGAAATGGCATCTTTCCCAAAGTAAATTACCTTTGAGATAGAGAAAGAAAGGCCCTTGGGCCTTCACTGGGCCTTTCCAGGAGAAACTGAGGCACACCCTGGGGGAGACAACACCCATGGCACAAAACCAGAGGTCTCCATCCCCTCCAGCCTTCCCAGCAGAGTCTCCACCCAAGGCCCAGTTTCCTGGCCTGTAGCCTCTCCTTGCTTGGTCACCCAGCGTTACTTCTCCCATTGAGGGATGAGAAGACACTCCCTATGCAGCCATCATTCAGCTCTGCGCTCACTCCTCGCAGCATGCTGGAGGTCCTGGACGTGGTCCCCTTGAGTGCACAGCTGCCCGTCTAACTGCACACAGGCTGCTTTCACTATCAAGTCCCTGCACACCCTTTGGAGGACTAAGAAGCACTCAATCCTGCCTGATTTGAAAACTCAACAATGTTGTACTCAGAGTTTTTCCCCAAGTTCTAAGTTCTCTGTCTGAAAAATAGAAGCTGGGCTTTTACTCAGCTCAGATAGTCTCCAGGAAGTGGGGAGCTGAAGAGGGTATTCATTTTTTGTTGCTGCATGACAAATGACCACAAGTTTAGCAGCTTAAACCAACACCTATTTAGCACCACACGGTCTCTCTTGGGCAGGTGTCTGGGCACAGCTCAGCTAGTTCCTCTGCTCATGGCCTTGCATGGGTATAATCCAGGCGTAGATGGGCTGTGTTCTCATCTGGAGGCTCAACTGGGCAAGAATCCTCTTCCAAGCTCATTCAGCCTGCTGGCAGCATGCATTTCCTTGTGGCCGCATGACCGAGGGCCTCAGCCTCTTCTTGGCCCTCCTCTGGAGGCCGCCCTCATGTCCTTAAGGCCACTCATGGTCTCCTGCCATGGGGTCCTCTCCAGAGGCTGCCCTCATGTCCTTGAGGCCACTCATGGTCCCCTGCCATGGGGTCCTCTCCAGAGGCTGTTCACAACATGCTGTTTGCTTCTGCGAGGCCAGCAAGAGCATCTCTGTCTCCGGTCTGCCAAGATGGGGTCTCCTATAATATCATGTGATCATGGGCGTGATGGGAGTAGCTGTCCTTCGCCCATTCCATTTAACGTAACCCAGACTTCAGTCTGCCATGTTCCACTGATTAGAGGCATGTCACAGGCCCTTCCCACACTCACAGGATGGGATGATGGGGGTAGGGGCAGTGATGGAACCATCTGAGAATTCCACCAGCCAGAGAGGATGAATGCTGTCCCACCAGACAGGGAGACCAGGCCTGGTGCAAACTTCCCCAATTCCCTCTCATCTGTAGGAGACAATTCCCACTCCTTAGCATGGCAGATCAGAACCGTTCCTCATGACTCCATCCTCACCTTTCTCCACACTCTCCTGCCTGCATCTGGCAAACACCCAAGCTCCCTGGCCTCCTATCTGTCCTGACCTCAGGGTGCTCTTTGTATGTGAGTGTGTCACTGCTCCTCCTGGCACAGACCAACTCTTCCCTCATGCCTGCAGGCCTAGCACAGTCTCTATAAGTGACAGGCACAGGTACACAGAGGCTGTTGACTCACCAGATAGCCAGTGCTCAGAATTTTTTGCATCAGTTGCCAGAGTGATGTTAAAGGCTGTGGGCTTCCTCTTAGTCCAACGCAGTAAAGGCCAGATGCCAGGTTAGGAGGCCTCTGGGGGAGGGCGTCTTTTGCCCAGAGGGTAATTGCGGCATGGGTCCTCATCCCAGGTCCCCACCCCGGCCGAGCCCTGGCGGTCTGCACTACTCAGACGAGGACATCTGCAACAAGTACAACGGCGCCGTGCTGACCGAGAGCGTGAGCCTCAAGGAGAAGTCGGCGGACGCGTCAGAATCTGAGGTCAGTGTGGGCGCCTACTTCCGGGCAGTGATCGTCAGCCCCTACTTCTGCAGTGAGGCTTCTGCCTCCTCAGGCTGTCTTGTCCTATTTGAGTCTCACAACGTCCCCACAGGCAGAGCCAAGGACAAAAGCCTTCATTTTGCAGGTGGAAAAACATGAGAAAGCCCAAGTTCCACCCCACGGCCTGCTCTGGGCCCCGCAGAGCTCACAACAGCCTCAAGCAGTGTAGACACTCCAAGGCTGATTCATGGAGGAGCAGGTTCTGATTCTCAAGTCCGGGAGGCGGCAGTGAGAGATACGCAAGGCTGGCGCCCTCTGTGAGGGGTTCCTTGCAGAGCAAAGTGTGGGTATTGCCTGGGTGCCAACAGGCTGAGTGTCAGATGGTCGCTTACACCTGCTCCAGCTCATGTAGTCCCGGGGGAAACTGGGCCTAGACCACCTCTTACGGATGGAGCCAGCGGGACTCAGGGAAGATCAGTAACTTGCCCTGTGTGGACTCCTGCCCCAGAAGCCCATTCTCTCTCCATTTCACTTTCAGAGATAAACATAGGTTGCCATAAAACTTGGTGGTCTCTAGACCGCAGTTAGAGTGGCAGCGGGTGTGATCCTGCAGGGCGGATAGAAAATGCGACCCCTTCACCAGATAGGAGCTTCCTGCTCACCCCGGACATTCACTTCCCCTGACACCCTGCCAGCCTCCCACCCTGCCAGCCTCCCACCCTGCCCAGGGAGCTCCTGTTCTAGCTCCCTCGCTTGTGCTGAAGAAGAGGGATTTGCTCATGGCAGTTCCAGGTCACGTATCGGGCTCAGGGTGAGCCCAGACTTGGGATGTGTTCCTCTCCTCACCGAGCGGCTGGACCAGGGAGATGGCTTCCCCGAGGGAGTGTCAGCCTCCATGCTCTCCCTCCCCGACCCCAGGGCCTACCCGCCTCAGGCCTCCCCTGCGCCTGCGTGTGCAGCAGTTCAGACGTGGAGTGTATTTCCTGTGTGACGTCCTGTGCGCTGTCACCCAAAGAGACTTTAAGCAGCAAGGCAGCCATGAGGGGGCTCCAAGCAGGGGACTCAACACACCTTCCGTACAGGGGCACCATCTCCATTTCTCATACTTACCGGCAAAAACAGCTGAAGCAGCAATTAGAGAGGTTGTCCCATCAGTCCTGAACTTTTTTCTCTCAGATATGCCAGGCCTGGAGAGGGGTGAAAACCACCAACCATTTGCTGTACACGTAGGCCTGCCCCGCCTCCTGGCACTCAGGTTTTAAATCAATATTTAATCTAAAGTAAGTCTCACCTTCATTTTAACCTGAATTCAGGCCTTATTGAGCCCCGGGGCTCTATCAAATGGCTTCTTTTCAATTGTGGGTTGTAGAGGAACTCCCGGAGGGAAGGGCCAGCAGGTGGGTGTGGCAAGGCCAGCTCTGCTTTGCTTCGCGTGTTCTGTTTGCAGAGGACGCTGGGTTTGCTGTCGGCACCATAGCCCTGGGCTTGGCAGAAACAGCAGGCAGCAAAGCAGATGCTCGGAAAGGGACATTTGTCTAAAACTGAGGGGCTGTCAAGTGAAATCCTGCAAAACTGACTTGCCTTTTGTGATAAGGAAAAAGCTTATCAGAAGCTCGCTACATGTAGGAAAGCAGTACATTGCGCAGAGCAGGGCAGCCTTCGAGCAGGACAGTCTGTGTCAGTAAAGAGGTACATCTCACGGCGCCAGCCTCGGGCCTGTCCCTGCTGCCGCTGTCAGCTGCTGCTCTTTGGAGAATCCAGACACGGTGGGGTGTCATAGCTATGGGTGGTTCCTATGCACAGAGCACTCGCTGCTGTTTCCAGCACTCACTGTGGGCCTGGCCCAGGGTGAACGTGCACTCCTTTGCCGCCTACCCTAGCCCCAGGAGGTGGGGCTGTCTCCTTATTGGTCAGAGGCTGAGGTTGTCCAGCAGGCGGCTGTTGAAGCTGACACCCAGCCAGACCCCCGTGTCTCCAGAGCTCAGTGTACCCCTCCCCTCCCCATCGGTCTCCTCCAGCCCCACACAAGAGGTGCATACCTAAATACAACACACACACCTAAATACACATGCACACATATGTACACATACACACGTGCACACATACATATACCTACACACCTGAATACATGCTGACATGCATACACACATGCATACCTAAATACAGCACACACCTAAATACACATGCACACATATGTACACATACATGCACACACATATACCCATACACCTGAATATATGCACACATGCATACATACATGCATACCTAAATACAACACACACACCTAAATACACATATGCAAACATATGTACACATACATGCGTACACACACCTACACACCTGAATATATGCACACACATGCATACACACATGCATACCCAAATACAACACATACCTAAATATACATGCATGCATATGTATACATATGCACATGCACACACATATACCTATACACCTGAATATATGCACACATGCATACCTAAATACACCTAAATACGTGCACACATATGTACACATACATGTGCACACATACATATACCTACACACCTGAATACATGCTCACACATGCATACCTAAATATAACACACACCTAAATACACATGCACACGTATGTACACATACATATGCACACCCATATACCTATACACCTGAATATATGCACACAAGCATACACGCATACATACCTAAATACAACACACCTAAATACACACATACACACATATGTACACATCCACGCATGCACACACACACACACCTGCACACCTGAATATATGCACACACATGCATACACACACGTATACCTAAATACAACACACACCTAAATACACACATGCACACATATGTACACATACACACATGCACACACATACACATACCAACATACCTGAATACATGCTCACACATGCATACACACATGCATACCTAAATACAACACACACACCTAAATACACATGCACACATGAATATATAACCACACATAGATGCACATACATATAACTACACACTGAATACATGCACGCATATACATGTACACATGTACACACACCCACATGCACATACCTAAATATATACATACAAAAATATGCATGTACACACATACAGCATATACACATACTTACATATGCCTACATACCTAAACACATGCACACATACATGCATGTGCAAAAACATGCACATACATATGTACTCATACACATGCATGCACATGCACACAGGCACACACCACACACATACTACATGCTTGTGCACATATATACACAGGCATACATATCTAAATACAAGTACAAACACATGCACACAACTACACACACATACACATATATACATGCATGCATAACGCACTTATACATACCTAAATACACACATGCACACACATACACTCCTGCCCATATGCACACACACATACACATCTAAATACAAACACACAGAGGTGGCATGATGGAGGGAGGTGAGTGTGGGGAGGGAGGCAGGCGAGTGTGGAGAGGGGGAGGTGAGTGTGGGGAGAAGGGTGAGAAGGGAGGAGAGCAGGACCTGGAACCCACACTAAATGGAATTCTGCACAGAGAGTGTTGTCATCCTTATGTAATAGGCAGAAAGCCAAGGCTGAGTTTTTGAATATCTTCCCTGAGACATGCACTGATGAGCTGGACTGGGGAGGCAGACCTCAGCATCTAACTGGAAATCCCACCTTCCCACCAGTCTTGCTCTCAGAGCTAAGTCTCAGGCAGCGTGGCTGGGAGGCCAGGGGTCCTGCTCTCAGAGCTAAGTCTCAGGCAGCATGGCTGGGAGGTGAGGGGTCCTGCTCTCAGAGCTAAGTCTCAGGCAGTGTGGCTGAGGTGGCGAGGGGCCCAGGAGCCAGGCCACGCTGCTTCCACGTGGCAAGCCCTGTGCTGGAGGAAAGCGTTCCTGCAAATGCACCTCATGGTTCCTAGTGCCTTTTGGGTGACAGGCTGCTTCTGGAAGCTGATGAAAGGTACAGACATGCTCTCCACCTACATACAGGCAGAATTTCACGTAGGATCTGGGAAGACTCCCCAGAAATTTCTTACAAACCCCACCACCTAGCGTCCCATGGAGTCCCAGCTAGGAATCCCCACACCTGGACCATCCTGTGCGCCTGAGGTTGTTGGGCGGATAAAGCGTGGCCTCCCTTGTCTGTAGAGCTCTTTGCTGTGTAACCTTCCTGCATCCTGCTTTTGAAGCTTATGAATTTGGGGGATTTTAAGGCACTCCATATTCATGGGATCCCAACAGAGGGAACTGGGGACTTAGATCATTTGAGAAGTGCCAGCTCACATGGTAACGTTCACTTTGAACCACTATTTGAAACAGCTGGATTGAGACATAATTCACATGTCATACAATCCACCCATTTGAAGTACACAATTCAGTGGGTTTTAGTACGTTCACAGAGTTGTGCAGCCATCACCACAGTCAATTTTAGAACATTTCCATCAGCCCCCAAAACACCCTGTACCGATTAGCAGTCACTCCCCCAATCTCACCAAACCACCCACATACACCTGCAGCCAACCCCAGCTCTTGGCAACCACTAAGCTACTTTCCACCTCTCTAGGTGTGCCTATGTGGACATTTCATCTAAATAAATCATGCAGTATGTTGTCTTTTGTGACTGGCTTCTTTCACTTAGCATGATGATTTCAATGCATTTGAACCACTCTTACTAAGTAATCAATTTGTATGTTTTATCAGTTCTCTTTTGCAGTGTTTTAAAATCTGACTTCAGAACTTCTCACTTCATAGGAAACAAACATGTTGTATTTTCCTTGACATATTTGCCCATATGGTTTCTTGGAACAAAAGTGTATTTTTTGTTTTGTTTTGTTTTTGTTTTTTTTCTTTTGAGATGGAGTTTCTCTCTGTTGCTCAGGCTGGAGTGCAGTGGCACAATCTCAGCTCACTGCAACCTCCACCTCCTGGGTTCAAGCGATTCTCATGCCTCAGCCTCCCAAGTAGCTGGGATTACAGGTGCCCACCAC